AAAAAGGAGCTAAATACGGATGTCGGGGAGATTTTTACGCCCGAAACAACACTAGACTTCAGTCGTCACATCCATGTCTTGTGGCCATTTTCCCCGGATGACCATCTCGATTTTGGAATTTTAAGATTTTTGAGCTGCAATATTTGGACGGCCTGTAGAGATTTTTGGAAATTGGATTTGAGAGAGTTAAAAACGCTCTATAAATAGTGGAGCCCATGCGACTGGTGAGAAAAAGATGTCACACCCATGCCCGTTGACATTTTCCGCGAATGACTATGTACAGCGCGGTATTTTGAGTTTTTCTAACTACGATATTTTGACACGTATGGAAATGTTAAAACTCTCGATCCGCGAAAGTGAAAAACGAGCTATAAATGCGCCGCAAGTGAAGCAGCGGGAGCTTGTCTGGAGAATCAAAACGCCTTCATTTCCGTGCGTATGCAACGCGAACATCCATGTGGAGCCCGAATAGATGTATCCAGGAGTTATAATGAAGTCCTTGCATTTGTGTTCGTCGCATGTAGTGCAAACTGAAGGCGGTTTGCTTGTTTCCGCTGACCCTTGAATTAATTCCAGCGTCCTCTTTTGTGCCAATAGAGTAAACTTTTGGCAATTTTTATCGTGATACTGCCAATTTTTTGGGAGAATGCTTTCATTGGTTTTCGCAACAGTCAATTCGCAACGTCGCACATCGACATACGCGTTTTGCAACTCTCACGATCGATTTGGAAAATACCGTGGAGTTGAGAGGGATGAAATAAAAACAATTTAAACAGCCGGTAACAAGGCTAATTTTCACATAAATACCATCAAAACGTCTCGGCTGAAAACTCAACCTTCCTCAGTTGGATAAAAACAGTAAACAATTTTAAAGATCTAAAAACTTAGTCCTTGGCTGTACCTTTCAAAGCGAGGAAAATGTTGTTATAAATTACTTTTGATACTTGATTACTTTTGATAACAACATTTTTCTCGCTTTGAAAGGTACAGCCAAGGACTAAATTTCGATTTTTAAATTTTTTACTGTTAATATCAAACCGAGGAAAGTTGAGTTTTCAGCCGAAACGTTTTGGTGGTATTAATGTAAAAATTAGTCTTGTCACGCTGTTTAAATTGCTTTTATTGTACACTCAAAATAAGGTATGACTCTGAGACCTATAAAAATGGCTCGGAGATCCATAATTTCTAACCAAAGTGACTTACCGTCTACAGTATGGCTTTCTGAGCCATACGTTATTGATGGTGAACCTATAAGCATGGCTCCAAGAACTGTATTTTATGGCTCCATGATCCATAACTCGGCCGGTAAGTCACTCTTCCCATACTTGTTTTTTGAGTGTAGGTATATATTGCTGAGAAGGATGTAGCTTATCGAATCATCACGGACCTAATCGATATTTGTCCAGTATAAATAGGAAAATGCAGTGAGAATTAGAAAAATCGCAAATAGAGAAAAAGGTCTACTTTGTCAAAATTCACGATCGAGAGTATCTTTGCACGTTGGATAAGTCCCAAAACCCGAGACCTGTGCTGCCGACAGCGAAGAGAGCAGTAAGTACTATTCTCTATGAGCCATGGTTAGCACATGCTTTTATGTGTCTCGAGGCTCATCCCAGCATGGACTTACTGCTCTCTTCGCTATCGTGGCAGTGTGCATGGAAAGCAGGGCTGCCGGGGCGTGAGCTCTAAAGTGTTTACCCTAACCCTTTCATCCATAACCGCCCACCACCCCTCTCACAGTTGCAAAACGTGAATCATCAACCATCGATAGTTTCACATTGAAAGCTGACGACGAATCGACTTTCAATCGTCGATATTATTCCGAAGGTTCAAATGGTAGATCGTTCGATTTATCGCTGAGCGCGCCACGGCACTGCCCCCCCCCCCCCCCCCCCCCCCCCCCCCCCCCCCCCCCCCCCCCCCCCCCCCCCCCCCCCCCCCCCCCCCCCCCCCCCCCCCCCCCCCCCCCCCCCCCC